CTGCACGTCAGGTGTGTGAGGCCACGTGAGAATGGGGAACAGCTTGAGACTCTGTCTCAAAAAAAAAAAAAAAAAATGCAGGAATATTCACTGAAGGATTTTCTGTTTGCTTATGGATTGCATAATTCACAAGTGGGTAAGGCGCCAGCCACATACACCAAGGCTGGCGGGGTCAAATCTAGCCCAGGCCAGCTAAAATCAACAGTGACAACTGCAACAAAAAAATAGCTGGGCTCTGTCCTCTTTCCTGCATGTGAGGAGTTTCACGTACCCCCAGTGGTGGTCGTGTCCTCAGGGCTTCTGCTGCTGTCTTAGCCCCCTCACGATAGGGGGCATCCTGTTTGAGGATAATTTCAATGTGAAAGATAGTGACCCAGAGAGCAAGACCTTTGACCACGTGTCTCCGTTGCATTGTGAGAGTGAATTTTTCAAGATAGATTACATCTTAGATGGAAACATCCAGATTTACCCTGTAGACTTAGGTGACAATTTCTGGTTGGTCATAGCTAGTACCTTGTATGAAGACAGTACCCTGGATGATGGTGAATGCAACCCCACTGATGACAGGCCTTCCAGGGCTGATCAGTTTGAGTATGTAATGTATGGAACAGTGTACAGGATTGAGGGAGATGAAACTTCTACCGAAGTAGCAACACCTCTCTGCCTCCGTGTCCTATGGGGGCCTGCTCATGAGGCTGCAGGGTGATAACCTGCATGGATTTGAAGTGGATTCCAGAGTTTACCTGCTGATGAAGAGACTGGCCTGAACTCGAGGAAAGCAGGCCTGGATGCTGAGTCACCCAGATTGTCACATTGTCAAGCTTGAGTGACAGATGCTGTTGTTCACTTGATAAGGAGAAGCTGCTCCCTTTCTCCTGAGGGAGCATCTTTAGCTGATCTGAACTCACTGGGAAACTGACTTGCCTGTGAAAGACCCAGTGGAAGAGCTTAAAATGAATAAGAAGTTGTCTTGTGTATGTGATTTTTTTAACTAAACTTTACTTTTTCAGATTGTACCCCCTTAAAAAAAAAAAAAATAGCCAGGCGTTGTGGCAAGTTCCTGTAGTCCCAGCTACTTGGGAGGCTAAGGCAAGAGAATCACTTAAGCCCAAGAGTT